TCTTCCAAATCTCTTGGCATACCTGAGTGAGTGCCTCTAGTGTGGCACCTGTTTGTTGAAACATCTCAATGAGTATCCCGTCAGTTCCTGGAGCCTTGTTTTTCACCACTTCCCTCAGTGCAACTTTGACTTCTTCCTTCAGTACCATTGGTTCTTGAACATATACCACCTCCTAAAATGGATGAACATCACCCAGTTCTTTTTGGTACAGTGACTCTGTGTATTCCTTCCATCTTCTATTGATGTTTCCTGCATCATTCAATATATTGTCCATAGAATCTTACAGTATTGCAACTCAAGGCTTAAATTTCCTCTTCAGTTCTTTTCAGCTTGAGAAATGCTGACTGTGTTCTTCCCTTTTGTCTTTCCAACTCCATGTCTTTGCACATTTCATTATAATAATTGACTTCGTCTTCTCGAGCTGCTCTTTGAAATCTTCTGTTTAGCTCTTTTATCTTGTCATTTCTTCTGTTTGCTTTAGCTACTCTCTGTTCAAGAGCTAGTTTCAGAGTCTCTTCTGACATCCATTTTGGTCTTCTCTTCCTTTCCTGTCTTTTTAATGACCTTTTGCTTTTTTCATGGATGATGTTCTTGATGTCATCCTACAGTTCCTCTGGTTTTCGGTCATTGGTGTTCAGTGCATCAAATATATTCTTTAAAAGGTCTCTAAATTCAGGAGGAATATAATCAAGGTCATATTTTGGCTCCTGGACTTGTTTTTATTGTCTTCAACTTGAACTTGCAAATGAACAGTTGATGGTCTGTTCCACAGTCAGCTCCTGGCCTTGTTTTGGCTGAAGATACTGAGCTCCTCCATCACCTCTTGCCACAGATGGTAGTCAGTCTGATTCCTATGTACTCCATCTGGTGAAGTTCACATGTATAGCTGCCATTTGTGTTGTTGAAAAAAGGTATTTGCAATGAATGAGTTGTTGGTCTTGCAAAATTCTATCATGCAATCTCCAGCATTATTTCTGTCTCCAAGGCCAAGTTTTCCAGCTTCTGGTGATTCTTCTTTGTTTCCAACTTTCGCATTCCAGTCACCAGTGATAATTAACACATCCTGATTGCATGTTTGGTCAATTTTAGACTTCAGAAGTTGGTAAAAATCTTCATTTTCTTCATCTTTGGCTTTGGTGGTTGGTGCGTAAATTTGAATAATAGTAGTAGTAACTGGCTTTCCTTGTAGGTGTGTGGATATTACTCTAATACTGACAGCATTGTACTTCAGGGTAGATCTTAAAACATTCTTTGTGACGATGAATGCCACGCCATTCCTCTTCAGTTTGTCATTCCTGGCGTAGTAGATCATATGGTTGGTTATCTGATTCAAAATGGCCAAAACCGATCCATTTCAGCTCACTAGTGCCTAGGGTATCAATCTTTAGTGCTTTACTGCTGTAAAATTCTCTAATTCTGTGTTCTGTTAGCCGAGTATCCAAGTGATTAGCACAATGTATGTGGTATACTCTCAATAAATTGTTGCTGTTTTTAATTATTAGGGCATTTTTCCATAGAAGTTTTTAGTTGCTTTGATGGTCTTAATATAGGATAGAAATCAACCAAGAACTTTTATTCATTTGGACACCTTGTTTTTGGCTTCTGCAGAGCCCTGACCAATAGGGAAAACTATAACTGCTGAGGATGGTTCTTTCCCTCTTCTTTTGGAGTCATGACTGCATCCTAGAACCAGATCTGTCATGACTCTGGGTGATGGAACTGAAAGAAAGAAAACAAACAGCTGGTAGTAAGAGATCTATAGTAAAAGGTGTAGATTCGTTCTTTATAAATATTAACAGTAGATTGTGTTCTGAAGTTGGACTCCTGAACTTATGCTTTATATTAAAACCCTGTCCTGAAATAACTGTTAGTAAAAGGTTAGATTTCAGGGTCTACTTGGGTTGACTGGGAAGAAAAGAACTGGAAATTACAGACTGTATTAATTTAGAGTCATCGAGTCTCGGGAATTTCTCTGCCATCACCTAGCTCAGCTTATTATTCATAGAGGAATTCCCTCTAAAATGTCCAGCCTCTGTTAGAAAACTGCCTCGGTAGTCAGGAAGTACTCCTTCTCAAGGCAGCTCATCCAGTTTTTGAGTTCTAGTCCTGTGGAAGCTATTTCACTGACCTTTAAGCTGATTGTGTATTGTCTCTTTCATGACAGCCCATATACCTTCTAGCATTCCATTTCCTCCCAGTCTCCCAGCTCCCACTCTCTTCTCAATTATGCTCTAGCATACTTCCCCATCTCTCTTACTTTCCCTGCTATTGATGCCCCTTCACAGTGTCTTTCTTCCCCGTCCATCTTTCTCCATCCCTTTTAATAAACAGAAACTTAAAACGCAAATAGCCAGATGACTTTTCTTTACTCCTAATCTCCATATTTTTGCCAAATACAATATTTTAAATAAACCCACGACTACATCTGAACACCCATGACTGACTGATAGGGAAAACTGGTGCTAATGGTGACTATTTTGGGGTCACTCATTTGGAATCATCCCATTATTAAAATAATTTGAAAATCATTCTTATCCTAAAAAGCTGAAACATTCTTTTCAGAAAGTGTTTGTAGTAGGTTAGTTGTTGTTGTTGTTGTTATAGGCCGTCGAGTCGGCCCCGACTCATAGCGACCCCTCCTTGGGTTTCCGAGGCAATATCACTACGAATGTAGGATTGCCCAACCTTCCTTCCAGGGAGTGGCTGGTGGGTTTGAACCACCAAGTAGGTTAGTAGTGATCTATAAATATATAATCGGGATTGATTTTTCTTCATTGCTCAGCCCCTTTCTAACCTTCACTGCCTGAAACCAGATGCTCATATCACCATCTCTGATATTACAGAATTGATCTGCCCTGTACTACATTTAGCACTGATTCTGTGTGGAACATCAGTTGTTTTTCTAAGGCAGATGAGTTCTGTAGCTCTTTCAGTCTGTGATCATGCAGCAGAACTTTAGCTAGTTAATTGAAGGAATGTGCTGAAATGTAGTTAGTCATTGTGCAGTCTGATCATACAAAATAGTTACAATCTGCTAAAGAAACATTATCAAAATTTATAAGAAAGACTAAGAAGTTGTGTTGGATTTTAATTGATTTATTTGAAAGTGAATAAGGTAACTATCATTTTTATTTAAACAACATAACCCTCTTGACAAATAATGACCTAGCTAGAACTTCTGACTAAACTTGATCTTATAACTTGGTGGTGCAGTGGTTAAGTGCTCAACTGCTAACCAAAAGGTTGGTGGTTTGAACCACCAGCCACTCCATGGGAGAGAAATGTGGCAGTCGGCTTCAGTAAAGATTATAGCCTAGGAAACAGTATGAGCAGTTCTGCTGTGTTCTGTAGGGTCTCTGGGAGTTGGAATCGAGTCAACTGCAGTGGGTTTGGTTTGTTTTTCTTTTTGTTTTCTTTTCTTTTTTAAAGTAATACAAGTTTGACTTGTTGAGATAGTTTTTGAAAGTCAGAGAGTTCTTTCCCACATAACTATTTTAGATCTTAAGCACTGAAAACAGAATGTGATCTTTGGTTAAGCTGGTTTCCAAAACCTGACATAGACAATGGAGAATCAGTTCCAATTGGTGATATTACTGTTCTGTTTGGCTAAAGATATGGCACAGGTAATTGCCATTAGTCCCCAGCTGCTGGCATGGAATAGAGGTGGCTAGAAAACAAGAAAATCCAGATGAAAGATGATTATGGGTTAGTCTAAGGGTGAGTGGTGGAAGTAGTCAAAAATGATCGGATTCAGGATATATTCTAAAGGTAGAGCTATCGGAATTTGCTGTTGGGTGTGAGAGAAAAAGCAGTTTGTTAAGAGTGACTTCAAGGTTTTGGCCTAAACAACTGGAAAGATGGAGTTGCAGGTATCTCACGTAGGAAAGCTGTTGCCAGAGGAACCAGGTTGTGGATACAAATGTTTGCTTCTCCAACATTTGGATGCACTGAAGAAAGCTTATGGAAGAAACACAGCATTAGAATTTGAGAGAAACTAGAAGTAAATGTTACATAAGGAGGAAAGGGGTACTGTGTTGTATAAAAACTACAAGCACTTGGTTGCTAACCAAAAAGTGGGTGTTCAAACTCACTAGCCACTCCACAGGAGAAAGCTGTAACAGCCAGCTTCCATAAAGATTTTCAGCCTTGGAAACCCTATGGGACAGAGTCTGTCCTATAGGGTTGCTATGAGTGAGAGTTAGACTCTACAACAGTGGATTGTTTTTTCAATCATACACACTATGTTAGTTGGTAGGTGCTATCCGTTAACTAAATTGCCATAAACATTTTAAATGAGAATGTTCATTCTAAAGTGAATCTAGAAGTCCTCAATGTTTATAATTGCCAAGCCTCTTAGTTGTTAAGTATCATTACAGAGATGCTTATGGGTATCCTATTTATGCACCAAGGACTCTCCTTTTGTATTTTTATCTTGACTTTTGAGACAGTATTTTTTTTATAGCAATTTTGGACTTTATTTCTTGAGGTAGAGATTTTTGGTTAAAAGTCAGTTGGCAGAGATGGAATTCACTACCATAGTTTTCAGTTGTTTAATTAGTAGATCAAATAGTTCTCTGTGATTTAGTTTCTTTATAAAATAGGATAAATAACAATACCTGTATTATGGATTGTTGGGAGGAATTAAATTAGTTCATCCATAGAAAGTGCTTAAAACTGTGCCTAGCACATGTTAGAATTGTGCCTGGTACTATGTTAGAGTTAAAACTTCTGTAAACTTATATTTGTTGTTCTTTTTATACATGGTTCAAATTTATAATAATGTTCTTTTGAATATGAAAATGAGTTATTTTTGGTTTTTAAGGAGACAGGCAAAATATTTGACACATGATTTTAATTGTTTCTTTACTTCTTACATGCAGAGATTTATTAAAATTTGTGAGCTTTTCTTTTGTTTTTTTGCTATGTGTTATGTTTTATATGTATAGTGTTTTGATTTTCAAGACACATTTTGATCCCAAATTACTATTTTGTCATTGCAGGCAAGAAGACAGCAAGACCCTAGTCCCGGTTCTAATTTAGGTGGTGGTGATGACCTCAAACTTGGTTAATTACTTAGCACAGCAGGTGTGCTGCTCCTCTTCATATACACATTGCTTCTAGCTGGTACAGATAATTGATTACAAGACCAGAAACTGTGATAACTGGAGGTCCTACAATCTGTTTCTCAACCTTGGGCAGTAATAGACATCACAGACTGCCATGGTTTGCACTATGATAACAATACCTGCATTTCTAATGTTTGAGCATGTAGCCAGTAAAAATTTGAAATTTTTTTCTATGCAAGCTTACCTTGTTGGCATTATTTTAGTGAGTTGGAACTATTTACTTGTAAAGACCTTTTTTCTTCATTGTAATTTAAAAGTTCATGTCATTTAAAAACAGGTCAAGAAGTTAAAATTTATATCAGAGGTATCTTTCCCCTAATCATTGCTCTAATTTTTTTGTACTTTTAGATGTGTTGGTTACATAGCTTCATTTTAGATGAGCATTCTTGAACTGTTTTGTTTCCCCTATTTCCTTTGTTTTTATAGTCTATGGCATTTTAAAACTGCTGATGAGTTTGCATTATTTACAGGCTAAACCTAGTAGCACAGAGCTGTCTGCCGCAGCCTTTGAACACAGTTTACAATCATTAAAGTTGCAGTATCCTTTTAAATACTAGTTAGTAATCAGCACCCTTTGTTTCCTTTTTAAACAAAATTTTTAAATTGGTATTAACTCTGTCCTCTGCAGCAGATCTGTTTTAGATTGTTCTGTAATCATGAGTTTGGGTGGAGATTGTTCTCCATAGAAGATAATATTCTACTGAAATGCCTAAAGAAGTCACAGGCTGACTTCTGTTTTATTCAGGGATTTTTTTTTTTTAAGTCAATCAGAAAAGGGATACTGGAGCTTCTTCATGTATGTAACAACATATTAAACTGGAGACAGTGATGAATCAGCTACAAAGGTAATATTGTATTAAAATCATGTTTAAGGTAGCTGCTTTTTATGTGTATTTTATATAGCATGCTTTTGTAAAAACAATGCTAGGTGATGAAAGATTAGTCTTAGAAAATGTTCATCTGTGCAGAGGATACATTTTCTTCCATTAATTACTCTGGAAAAAACATTAACAACTATTTATATGGTATTTTCAAAAAGGACTATTAATAGAATCTTTTGAGATGAATTAGTGTAAAATTATTTTTCAAATAGTTTCAATTTCAAATTGCTTTTTTTTTTTTTTAATGCAAGACTGGAAAAAAGTGCTAAGTCATTTGGCACTTTCTTACAAATATTTGTCATGGTCATATTCATTAAATGTTGCTACATTTCTGAATTTTTGGAAAAATACATTTTACCATAATAGAATGGCATTATTTTAAAGAATTTGAAAAACTGACATGGTCAGTTCAGAAAAAGAACTGAAGTCTGAATGAGGTCATTACATATAAAAAGGATATCAGAATTATTGATTGATGAGAGAGGCATGACTTTGATTGTACATAGGTCTTATAATTGATAAACACATATCCTATATCTCAGAATAAAAATAGTTGTCATATATTTGAAGTCATGCATGGTAAGGAGTGTGTTTGTTACAAACAATAGATCATAAAAGGTCATACTGATCTTCCTAGGTCCTATCAATGAATTTGGTTGATACTTGGTGTTGTGCAGCTCACATGTTTACACACTCAGTGCCCTAATTTCCCCTGAGGAAATTACCTTTTAAGTGGTCCTTACAATGGAGTTTTAAGGTTACTTTATCACAGAGATCCTTGGCTTCTGACTTCTGCACTTAATATTTTTTTTAATAACATGATGAAGTGTCATTTTTCTCTGTTGCTTCTAGCTAAGGGCTTTCAGTTCATCAGTAAATAAGATCAAATGTTATTAAGTGTTTATGTTGCCATCCTTCTGTAAATACTGAATTTTTCTCATCATTTAGCACTGCTGTTTCTGTCTGTCTTAATGCTGGCATTAAGATCATGAGCCCTTTTCCTCCAATAATGTAGGCTTTAAGAACTACTTAATTATTAAGTTATTTGTTGCAATTTGATATTTTTCGTAATCTCTATTTAAACAAAATTAGATCATTGTATCATCTTTTCTAAATTCATTTCCATTAAAACTTGCCTTAAGCTACCAGATTGCTTTTGCTCATCATCAGCTATACTATGTGTTGTATGTTTGATTTACTTTCACAATAAACTTCTGTGTAGTGAAAACAAGGGTCTTGCACTTTATTGACAAAATTCAACAATTCTGTTCTGGTGTTAGTTAAGACAAAAATTTATTTTGTTTCTGAATGGTTCTTTGATCCTGCTTTCAGCAGTCTTAAAAAAAAAAAAGCAATGATAGTGGCATCTAGTGGTCATTTCTGCTATTTACTTTAATGTAAAATATCACAAAGAATACAAATTTCACAAAGTACATTATAGTTTTCAAAAATCTGGCTTGATTTACCCAGCCTATGAGGTATGACTGTAAAGTACTAACTTTGTCAGGGAGGAAGAATTCTAAAAATTACATATCAGGATTATTACCCTGTTTCAGCTACAGGCAGACCTCAGAGAAATTGCAGGTTTGGTTTACAGACCATCACAGTAAAGTGAATATCACAATAAAGTGAGTCACACAATTTTTTTGTTTCCCAGTGCATACAAAAGTTATATTTACACTACCATACTGTAATCTATTAAGTGTGCAGTAGCATTATGGAAAAGTTTGAAATACTGTGTGTGGTAGTGGCACTAGGTAATCAGACAGTGTGAGAGTTACCAAAATGTGACAGAGAGACAAAGTGAATACATGCTGTTGGAAAAATGACACAAATAGATTGTTCATGCAAGGTTACCACAAACCTTCAATTTGTAGAAATGCAGTATCTGCGAAGCACAACAAAGCGAAGCACAATGTTCTGGTTCCCTAGTGCTGCTCTGACAGAAATATACCACAGATGGGTGGCCTTAACAAACAGGAGTTAATTCTTATAATTTGGAGGCTTTAAGTCCAAGTTCAAGTGCCAGGCTCTAGAGGCTGGGTGAAAGCCCCTCAACTTTGGGGTCCAGCTCTGCCTCCTGCTCCTGGCCCACTGGAGCTAGAGGCGTTTCTTCACTCAGACAGCTGCAGACTGCTGAGGCTGAGAAGCCCCAAGGTTGACAAAGTAAAAAGGCACAGTCCCGATGTTACCAAACCACACAGCAGGCCATTAATTCAAGTCCGTTGTAAGTCCCAAGGTCAGCAGAGCATGGCAGGCTGCTGAACAATGACACGGCTACATGGCAGGGTTCAGGGTGCCATAAGCTAGAGACCATTCCCAAAGCTGCTGCTTATATATGGGAAACAAACCACATTCCCAAAGCAGATACTCAGCTACCTGTGGTAGATCCCACCATGGAGTTGATTGCCAGTCTCATGGGGAATAACTACCACCAGCTGCCCAGCCACTCAACCAGGCCCAGCCAAGTTAGCATGCAACTTTAACTACCACACACAATTAAACGAGGAATGCTTGTATTTGTTAGGAATATGGCCTTATTTTGATTGTGCTGGGATTTATTTCAGACATTCTTAGAATTTCTCTTGACGTTTTCCTACACCAGAAAAGTGAGCCTTTTATTTAGAAGTATGTCTTAAGCCTGATCTATAATTGAAGAAATTTACTTGTTATTCACTACCCAACTTACTGCAAATAACATAGCTTTAAATGCTGAATTGGTAGCATTACAGAAAATAAAGAATGAGGTACGTCCTTTGACAATGCCACATGGGAGGTTTTTCAAGTTTTAAGCCATTGTATCCCCTTGTTAAGCGGTCTGGTGACATAGTGTCTAAGGCACTTGACTGCTTAACCAGAAGGCTGATGGTTCAAACCCACCAGCCACTCCTCGGAAGGAAGGTTGGGCAATCTACTTCCTTAGTTATACAGCCTCGGAAACCCAAGGAGGAGTTGGCATGAGTTAAATCAACTTGACAGCATTGAGTTTGATTTTTGTTTTTGTTTTTGTTTTGTTATCCCATTGCTGTATAACTTATCCCAGAACTTGAAGTTAGAGTCAAATTGTCACCCAGTGCTAAGTAATCTCATGGTTTGGGTGAGTCTGAAGGATCCCCTTCCAAGCTCACTCATGTGGTCAGTGGCTGGCCTTGGTTCCTTACAGGCTGTTGGACTAAAGCTTTTAGTCCCTTGCTGACTACAAACTAGAGACATCCTTGTGTTGCTTGCCATGTGGTCTGAAGAGCAGTTCATAGCATGGCAGATGGTCTCCCCCAGAACGGATGACCCAAGAGAGAGTACATGCTCAATATGAACACCAAAGTTTAAAAACCTGATCTTAGAGGTGGCCTAATATGACCTCTGCCATATGTTAGAAGCAAGTCACTGACTGTGTCCCACTGCAGAAATGGTATGGTGGCAGCATCAGACTTCTCGGTTCTGCACGGGAAGGGAAAAAATGACCATAAACAGCTCAAAACTGACTCCTATGAGGTGGAGGACATACCTCCACCTCCATCCCTTTTACCAAATCTGACATCAGCCATCCCTCTTCACAGCACTCTACTTTGCTGAGTTTGACGATTCATTGCAATGGCCATAAAAACCCAGAGACTCTACTCAACATTAAGAGAGTTTATTAGGGAAGTGTAATAGGTTACATAAAATTTGCGAACAGGATGAGGAAGTATGTAGGCAAAGTCTCTCTCTAGTGAAGGACAGCTCTAAGCTCATCTTACTAGAGGTCTCTCTCAACCCTTTGGCCCTACTTAGGCTTGGCCTCTGGCCTGCTTAGGCAAGTGTTACAAAACTGTAGCTCCGCCAATAAGTTCCCAGAGGCACCCGATGCTGCTAAGAAGCCTGCTGCCAAAGGCATTCAGCTCTCTGAGTCAGCATGCCCACAGTAGCTCCAAAGGACTCACACTACTCCATTCTTAGTTCACTTTTTTCAGCAGTAGTGAAGTCCCTCCTCTTCTCTGGATTGGCATGATAGCAAAACTGATCAATCTACCCAATAGTGTTCCATTCACTTCATTTGCATGGTCCTACCCCACAAGGGTTCCATGACCTCATCTGTATTGTTAGCAGGCTGTACGATCCCTTGGTGGCCCACAAGCACCTTACCTGCATAGTCCCGCACAGTCATTGTGTGGGAGTTACCAAAAAAACCAAACTCACTGTCATGTGGATTGCGACTCAAAGCAACCCCTCCTTGGGTTTCCGAGACATTATCACTACGGAAGTAGATTGCCCAAGGACCATGAATAGCTGGAAGGGCCATATTAAGTAAGTCACTCAAATGGAGAAGTATTAAGGTTCATCTCTTGATGGGAGGGGTGTCAGAATTTGTGAACATATATATTAAACTACCATAGCCATACTACCAGATCTACATTAAGGAGCTGTGGTGGTGTAGTGGTTAAGGCATTTGACTGCTAACCAAAAGGTCAGTGGTTCGAACCCATCAGCTGCACCATGGATGAAAGATGGGGTATTCTGCTTCCATTAATAAGATTTATAGCCTTGGAAACCCAAAGGAGCTATGAGTCAGAACCAACTCAGTGGTTTTATATATGTATGTGTGTATGTATATATATGAGTGTGTATGTATATATATGAGTGTGTATGTATATATATGAGATTTTGCAAGACAACTTAGCTGTTTTGATCTCCCATTCTTTACAGATAAAATTTCAGTCAT